TAATGATGTGTGGTGTCATGTTAAATGATGTGTGATGTCCCATAGTTGTGATGTGTGATGTCTTCATAGTTAATGATGTGTGGTGTCCCCATAGTTAATGATGTGTGGTGTCCCCATGGTTAATGATGTGATGTCTTCTTAGTTAATGATGTGTGGTGTCCCCATAGTTGTGTGTGTGATGTCCCCATGGTTGTGATGTGATGTCCCCACGGTTGTGATGTGTGATGTCCCCACGGTTAATGATGTGTGATGTCCCCCATAGTTAATGATGTGTGGTGTCCCCATAGTTAATGATGTGGTGTCCCCATAGTTGTGTGTGGTGTCCCCATGGTAAATGATATGTGATGTCCCATAGTTGTGATGTGTGATGTCCCCATGATTTAATGATGTGTGATGTCCCCATGGTTAATGATGTGTGATGTCCCCATAGTTAATGATGTGTGATGTCCCCATAGTTGTGATGTGTAGTGTCCCCATAGTTGTGATGTGTGGTGTCCCCATAGTTGTGATGTGTGGTGTCCCCATGGTTAATGATGTGTGGTGTCCCCATGGTTAATGATGTGTGGTGTCCCCATGGTTAATGATGTGTGGTGTCCCCATGGTTAATGATGTGGTGTCCCCATGGTTAATGATGTGTGGTGTCCCCATATGGTTAATGATGTGTGAGTGTCCCCATGGTTAATGATGTGGTGTCCCCATGGTTAATGATGTGTGATGTCCCCATAGTTAATGATGTGTGATGTCCCCATAGTTAATGATGTGATGTCCCATGGTAAATGATGTGATGTCCCCATGGTTAATGATGTGTGATGTCCCCATGGTTAATGATGTGTGGTGTTACATGGTTAATGATGTGTGATGTCCCCATGGTTAATGATGTGTGATGTCCCCATGGTTAATGATGTGTGGTGTCCCCCATGGTTAATGATGTGGTGTCCCCCATAGTTAATGATGTGTGATGTCCCCATGGTTAATGATGTGTGGTGTCTCATAGTTGTGATGTGTGTTGTCCCCATGGTTAATGATGTGTGATGTCCCCATGGTTGTGATGTGTGATGTGTCCCCATGGTTAATGATGTGTGATGTCCCCATGGCCAAATGATGTGTGATGTCCCCATGGTAAATGATGTGTGATGTCCCCGCATAGTTAATGATGTGTGATGTCCCCATGGTTAATGATGTGTGGTGTCCCCATGGTTAATGATGTGGTGTCCATAGTTAATGATGTGTGATGTCCCCATGGTAAATGATGATATTGAATTGTCCCCATGGTTGTGATGTGTGATGTCCCCACATAGTGGCGTGTGTGGTGTCCCCCATGGTTGTGATGTGTGATGTCCCCATAGTTAATGATGTGTGATGTCCCCATGGTTAATGATGTGTGGTGTCCCCATGGTTAATGATGTGTGATGTCCCCATAGTTAATGATGTGTGATGTCCCCATAGTTGTATTGTGTGGTGTCCCCATGGTTAATGATGTGTGATGTCCCCCATAAGTTGTGATGTGTGGTATCCCCATAGTTAATGATGTGTGATGTCCCTTAGTTAATGATGTGTGATGTCCCCATAGTTAATGATGTGTGGTGTCCCCATAGTTGTGTTGTGTGATGTCCCATAGTTGTGTGTAGGTGTCCCCATAGTTGTGATGTGATGTCCCCATAGTTAATGATGTGTAGTCCCCATGGTTAATGATGTGTGGTGTCCCCATAGTTAATGATGTGTGGTGTCCCCATAGTTAATGATGTGGTGTCCCCATGGACTGTGATGTGTGGTGTCCCCATGGTAAATGATGTGTGATGTCCCCATAGTTAATGATGTGTGATGTCTACCGCAGTTAATGATGTGTGATGTCCCCATGGTTAATGATGTGTGATGTCCCCATAGTTGTGATGTGTGATGTCCCCCAGGTTAATGATGTGTGATGTCCCTTGGTTAATGATGTGGAGTGGCCCCATGGTTAATGATGTGTGTGGTGTCCCCATGGTAAATGATGTGTGATGTCCCCGCTGGTTAAAGATGTGTGATGTCCCCATGGTTAATGATGTGATGTCCCCATAGTTAATGATGTGGTGTCCCCATGGTTAATGATGTGTGATGTCCCCATGGTTAATGATGTGTGGTGTCCCCCATAGTTGTGATGTGTGGTGTCCCCATGGTTAATGATGTGTGATGTCCCCACGGTTAATGATGTGTGATGTCCCCACAGTTGTGATGTGTGGTGTTCATGGTAAATGATGTGTGATGTCCCCATGGTAAATGATGTGTGATGTCCCTATAGTTGTGATGTGTGATGTCCCCATAGTTGGCAGTGTGTGATGTCTGGTTGTGGTGTGTGATGTCCCCATGGTTGTGATGTGTGTGATGTCCCCATGGTAAATGATGTGTGATGTCATAGTTGTGATGTGTGATGTCCCCATAGTTGTGATGTGTGTGATGTCCCCATGGTTGTGATGTGTGATGTCCCCATGGTTGTGTGATGTGTGATGTCCCATGGTTTGTGATGTGTGTGGTGTCCCATGGTTGTGATGTGTGATGTCCCCACGGTGTGATGTGTGATATCCCCACGGTTGTGATGTGTGATGTCCCCGGTTATGATGTGTGATGTCACATGGACATGATGTGTGATGTCTCCATAGTTATGATGTGTGGTGTCCCCATGATAAATGATGTGTGGTGTCCCATGATAAATGATGTGGTGTCCCCATGGTTAATGATGTGTGGTGTCCCCATGGTAAATGATGTGTGATGTCCCCATAGTTGTGATGTGTGATGTCTCCCATGGTTAATGATGTGTAAGGTGTCCCCATAGTTGTGATGTGTGAAATGTCTTCTTGGTTAATGATGTGTGGTGTCCCCATAGTTAGTGTGGTGTCCCCATGGTTAATGATGTGTGATGTCTTCATGGTTAATGATGTGTGGTGTCCCCATGGTTAATGATGTGATGTCCCATGGTTAATGATGTGTGATGTCCCCACGGTTAATGATGTGTGATGTCCCCACAGTTGTGATGTGTGATGTCCCCATGGTTAATGATGTGTGATGTCCATAGTTGTGATGTGATGTCCCCATGGTTAATGATGTGTGATCATAGTTGTGATGTGTGATATCCCCATAGTTAATGATGTGATGTCCCCATAGTTAATGATGTGTGATGTCCCCATAGTTGTGTGTGATGTCCCCATGGTAAATGATGTGTGATATTTATGGTTAATGATGTGTGATGTCTCCATAGTTAATGATGTGTGATGTCCCCATAGTAAATGATGTGTGATGTCCCCATGGTTAATGATGTGTGATGTCCCAATGGTAAATGATGTGTGATGTCATAAAGTTGTGATGTGTGATGTCCCCATGGTTATGATGTGTGAATGTCCCCATAGTTAATGATGTATGATGTCCCCATAGTTGTGATGTGTGTGATGTCCCCCGTTTAATGATGTGTGGTGTCTTCATAGTTAATGATGTGTGTGTCTTCATGGTTAATGATGTGATGTCCCCATGGTAAATGATGTGTGATATTGTCCCCATGGTTAATGATGTGTGATGTCCCCATGGTAAAATGATGTGTGATGTCCCCATGGTTAATGATGTGTGATGTCCCCACATAGTTAATGATGTGTGATGTCCCCATGGTAAGAAATGATGTGTGATGTCCCCATAGTTGTGATGTGTGATGTCCCTTGGGGGGGGTTAATAATCGTGATGTCCCCGGTAAATGATGTGTGATGTCCCCATAGTTAATGATGTGTGATGTCCCCATAGTTATGTGTGATGTCCCCATAGTTAATGATGTGTGATGTCCCCATGAACAATGATGTGTAATTGTCCCCATGGTTAATGATGTGTGATGTCCCCCGCTGGTTAATGATGTGTGATGTCCCCATAGTTGTGATGTGTGGTGTCTC